ATTATAAATCATGCTGCTATAAAGAGACATGCACACGTATGTTTATTGCGGCACTATTCACAATAGCAAAGACTTGGAATCAACCCAAATGTCCATCAGTGACAGACTGGATTAAGAAAATGTGGCACATATACACCATGGAATACTATGCAGCCATAAGAAAGGATGAGTTTGTGTCCTTTGTAGGGACATGGATGCAGCTGGAAACCATCATTCTTAGCAAACTATCACAAGAACAGAAAACCAAACACCGCATGTTCTCACTCGTAGGTGGGAACTAAACAATGAGATCACTTGGACTCAGGAAGGGGAACATCACACACCGGGGCCTATCATGGGGAGGGGGTAGAGGGGAGGGATTGCATTGGGAGTTATACCTGATGTAAATGACGAGTTGATGGGTGCTGACGAGTTGATGGGTGCAGCAGAGCAAAATGGCACAAGTATACATATGTTACAAACCTGCACGTTATGCACATGTACCCTAGAACTTAAAGTATAATAGTAATAAAAAAAAAGAGAAAAAAAAGTTCATTGACCTGTACATTTTAAAAGACTAAAGTTTATTTTATGCAAATCATACCTCAATAACCCTACAAAAGTTAAAACTCATCAAATTGTACTTTAAATGGATAAATCTTATTGTTTATAAACTATACTACAAATAAAATGGGTTTAAAAAGAAACAACAGGCCAGTACAGTGGTTCATCCTTGTAACCTCAGCAATTTGGGAGGCCTGGGTGGGAGAATAACATTTTTTTCTTTTTTTCTTTTTTTTTTGAGATGGAGTCTCACTCTATCACCCAGGATGGAGTCCTGTGATGCAATCTTGGCTCACTGCAACCTCTGCCTCCTGGGTTCAAGCAATTCTCGAGCCGTAGCCTCCCGAGTGGCTGGGATTACAGGCGTACACCACCACACTGACTAATTTTTGTATTTTTAGTAGAGATGGGATTTCACCATCTTGGCCAGGGTAGTCTCCAACTCCTGACCTCAGGTGACTCACCCGCCAAGGCTTCCCAAAGTGCTGGGATTGCAGGTGTGAGCCACCAAGACTGGCCTGTCGGAGGATTACTTAAAGCCAGGAATTGACAAGACTGAGCAACAAAGTGAGGCTCCCATATCTACTACAAAAAATTTAAAAATTAGCTGGGCATCGTGGTGCCTGTCGTCCCAGCTACTTAGGAGGCTGAGGCAGGAGGATCACTTGAGCCCAGGAGTTCGAGGCTGCAGTGAGCCATGATTCTGTCACTGAACTCCAGCCTGGGCACCAGACTGAGACCCTGTACATACATACATACATACATACATATATACATAAAAATTAAAAGAAACAACAAAATTCTAGTTCAAGAGTGATCTATTAGAGTTTTCCCCTGCTCCCATTTTCCCCCAGTAGAGATAATCAACCATGTCTTTTTTCCTACTACAACTGTACTTTATTATTTACTTCTATTTTTCTCCCAAGACTATATTGTTATTTTGAATTATATGTGTATTGCTAGTAGACTCCCTGAGCAGAGGGACTATGTCTTCATCTCTGGATCATGAGTGCCTAAAATACAGTAGGTGCTGTATTATTTTTATTTGATTTGCATAATTGCACATGAATATATCTAAAACTTTCTAAATGTTTCTTTCAAAATTTTTCTGCCTGGATCTCTTCCTAGTGGTAATAAATTGTATATATTTATTACTGCATAAAGCATTGCTATTTTTAAATTCAAAACCACTTCCTTAAACGTCAAGGGATTCACACCCAATTTTTGGTATTCTTCAATACAGTGAAATTGCTCATGTGTACATCACCTCTTACACTTCATTTGTAGATTTTTACAGCATATCCTTTTTAGATCATTTTTTCTAAAAAGATATCCAACTTAAAATTCCATTTCAACAATACAGATGGTCCCTGACTTATGATTGTTTGACATAGGATTTTTCAATTGTACGATGGTGCGAAAGAGATACACAGGCCATAGAAACTGTACTTTGAGTACCCATACAACCATTTTTCCATTTTCAGTACAATACTCAATAAATTACATGAGATATTAAACCGTTTATGATAAAATAGGGTTTGTGTTACATCAGCTGAACTATATGCTGATGTAGGTGTTCTGGGCACATTTAAGGTTGGCTAGGCCAAGCTAGGATATTCAGTAAGTTAGGTGTGTCAAATGAATTTTCAACTCACAGTATTTTTAACTTGTGACAGGTTTATCAGGATGTAACCCCCTCAAAAGTCGAGGAGCATCTGTATATATGCCCATTTATATCATAAATATTTACACTTTTATTTGTCAATTATACCTTAATAAAGCTGGGGAAAAATATATATGTCCATCATAGGTAGGATTGCCCAGTAAAATACATTATGCCCCATTAAATTTGAATTTCAGAAAAACAACAAACAATTTTTAGTATAAGTGTGTTCTGTGCAATATTTAACTGAGCATCCTTTGTTGGGAGAGTGGTTGACTCTGGCAATCCTAGTCATATGGTACACATGACCAAGTTTAAGGTTAAATCAGGAAGAGATTGAAGCATCCTCCTTTAGACTGTGGTTAAGAGTGGTGAAAATAAGTTTTGATTAAACAGTAAAATGACACCAAGTAGAAACGGGTGTTATTTATTAAGCAAGATACTGTTTTGTGTAGCAGACACCTCATGAAAACACTCTAACTCAGCTAGATGCTTTTTGTTAGAGACCTGGAAAAGTAGGATTGTTGCCTTGTATTACAAGGGCATTTGAAAGTTGTGTTCTATAAATTATATAACTTGTCTGGGCCCACATTCTACCTCAACCTCTGCCTACTCCAGGCTTCCTGCCTCTTCAGGATGGGCGAGATGCCTCTAGTACTTAGATAGCAAATTCTTGTCACACCTAGTGCCATTCTCCCAACCAAGGCAAATCATCACAGCTTATAGTACACTTTATCTACTGAGCCTGAAAACAGTCTCAGAGTCTTTCTTAGCACTGTGTGTTTTTTTGAAACAGCTATTATTAATTCATTAGAATTTGCACCAAAAAATAAATCTGTTTAGCATCACTAGTCTCACAGCTGCCATGTTATTCACTGTGCAAGGGCACCTGAATTAGAGAATAAAATGGGGCTGATACCCAACTCATGCTCTGTACATCATGGTGTGGGGCTGCATTCCAAGAGTCTTTTTCTAAATCACATAAGGCACAGACTAGTAGCAGCTCTGTCTGTTCTAGGGAAATAATCAGGGTGTTACTTGGTATAATTGGTGAAATTAATAAGGGAGAGAATATTTCAAAGGAAGAGAGATGAGTTGAAGCATCTATAGTTGAAGAATGGCTTGAACCTTGGCTTCTGAGCATGCTCAACAGTACATGCCCTTCAGTTGGAGAAATTTGAATATAACATTAAGCCAGCAGGGTATGGTGGCTCAAGTCTGTAATCCCAGCGCTTTGGTGGGGGCCAAAGCAGGTGGATTGCTTGAGCCCAGGAGTTCTACATCAGCCTGGGCAACATGACGAAAACCCATCTCCACAAAAATAAAAATAAAAAATTACCCGGGTGTGGTGGTGCACGCCTGTCATCCCAGCTACCCCGGAGCCTGAGGTGGGAAGATCTCCTGAACCTGGGAAGTTGAAGCTGCAGTGAGTCATGATTGTGCCACTGCACTGCAGCCTGGGCGACAGAGTGAGACCTAATCTCCAAATATACATATATGTACATGTGTATGTATATGTGTGCGTGCGTGTGTGTATAAAACATTAGCCCAAAAGCAATTTCCTATTTAATGATTCATTTTTGTTGTTTGTTTAGCTGTGTTCTGTATTTTAAAAAATACATACATGACATCCTGATTTTCCACAATAGAGAAATTAAATGATAAATGATTCATAGATCTACAGTTCCCCAGGTGATTCTGATGTACACAACTTAGTTGAGGCCCAGGTAGCCTAAAGAGTATGACAATTGGCCTGGAGGGAGAATCAAACCAGAACCATTATGAACATAAATAAGACAGTTAACCTGCCCCTTACCTGTAGGTAAGGGCATCCTGACATTCACCATTCTGTAATGAGAAGCTCCCGGTAAATGAGGATGCGTGGGACTGAAGAAATTGGAGGAAATTCAAGAAATTTAATTAGAGAAAATAGAATAGCCAAACTACAGCCCAAGGCTGAGGCCACTGGAGATAAAACTGTTTAGGACATATGCTCTGGCAAGATACCGGTAACAAAATCTGGCAGCCACATGGCTCTCTGATGAGGCTTACCTTTAGCCAGTTTCAATATGAAGAGTTGTCCTTTATATATAGCTTATATCCCGCCTTGCTTTCTGCCCCCGTCAGCGTTTCAGTTGCTTATCTCAGGATCTTCTCCAAATGTATTATTCCTGTCTTGTACATAGACCAGAACTATAAAAAAGAGCCCGGATGCAGACACCTCAAGGATTTACAAAAAAAAAAAAAAAAAAATAGGATGACTGCTTACTGGTTTTTCCTCCAATTTGTCTTAATAATGTTCAACATTTTCCTGATTATTTTGACCGAAACAATACTTGGGCAGCTGTCCTCAGGGAATAGTCTATAAAGGACTCTTGGCACCCCTTCCAGGGATGACAAGTCAGAACTTGTCATTTTAACATATGCTTGAAGAAATCAAGAAGTAAGGAGATTTTAGGGGGAGAAATATAGATGTGATTTGAAAAGCCAATTCAAATAGAGATAAGTTGTTGGGATGGACTTCTATGGTAGGAAAAAAAAAAAAAAAAAGTAGAGGCCGGGGCAAAGGGCCCCCCCTTTAATCCCAGCACTTTGGGAGGCTGATGCAGGGGGATTTCTTGAGCCCAGGAGTTCAAGACAAGTCTGGACAACATAGTAAAACCCCCTCTAAAACTAGCTGGGTATGGTGGCACTTGCCTGTAGTCCTACATATTTAGTAGGCTGAAGCAGGAGGATCGCTTGAGACAAAGAATTTGATGCTATGGTGAGCTATAATTGTGCCATTGCACTCTAGCCTGGGCAACAGAAAGAGATCCTGTTTCTAAAAAAGAAAAAAAAAAAAAGCAGTGGTATAACTGCCTGGGGAGTAATTCTGTCTAGCTAGAATGTAATGTGAATAAAGTCATGATGGATGCGGGGGTTATAAATGTGGGTTGGGACCAATGTACTCATGTACTTTCTCTTCAAATATAATTTGTTAAAATGATAATTTAGGCCAATCTCAAGGCCAATTTTAAGAAGATTCTGCCATTAACAGTTAAGATATCTCTAAAATGGGATAATAGAATCTATTCTATTTTCCTTACCAGAATACTGTGATTACCAGATGGCACAAGGGTTATGGAAGACCTTGGGTAATTGACAAGTTGTCAATTACAATTACAGAGTGGTCGCACTGCCTACAAAATTCCCCATCAGCTCCTCCTACTCATCTCTAAGCTCTTATATTATATGTCCTACAATGCTATGTTGACTGTAATCAAAATACTTCTTGGTTTAAAAACTTTCAAAGGTGGGGTTTTCTTTAAGTTTAAAGTTCTTTTCTCTAAGGCTCCCACTTTTGTATCTACTTTCTACTTATCCCAAATTCTAGTATAGCATGATTTTCTGTTATGGAAATCAAGCAGGTTTTCTCCATTACGCTCTGTCCTTCTGTGTTTTCATAATCCTAATGTTTACTCTCCATTTAACCAGATTACTCAATGGATCATGAGACTATCTGGAGTCTGTAGCTTCCAGAAGCCTCTCTGGAGTATTTGTTTTGCATTTATTCTGAAGAATGCTCTGCCAGAAATAAAAAGTTGACAGACAGCAGATTTTTAAGAGTATTGGAAGGCACAAAAGTATAATGGCTAAGAGAGGAGTTGGATTGCCTCAATCTATAATCCTGGCTTTATCTGTTTCCTCTTTATGATATAGGATCGTTTCAACTGTTGAGTTAGATAGCATATGGAAACTGCTTAGCACCAGGCATGATGTATACGGAGTGCTTAATTAGTGTTACCTATTATCATCATTGTCATCACTATATAAATAATAAAGTTGACTGTTTTGATTTGTAAGTATTCTATATGAATATGTATGCAAAAGCATTTCAATCTAATAAGCAACCACAAGGCTAATCTCCATTACTTATGCGTAGTCAAAGTACATAGATTCATGGCTTATGCCTCAGATAATTGAAAACCCACCACTTTCATTTAGGTGGCTGTTTGGAAAAAATACGTCACAATTGCATAATGCTTTATGATTTAAAAGAACCTTTTAAGCATATTTGCACTTAAGCCTCATAATAAATGATTAGAAAGATTACTGGACTTTTCCAATACTACACAATAATTGTGCAATAAAACTGATATTAGAACCTAAGTCTTGATCCTTATATCATGAAAGACTTCTTTATTATTTGTTAAGATCCCCTGGACCATCTTGACATCACAAAACAAGTATATGTTAGAAAAGTTTTTATTTTAAGAAAAATATCCAAAAGTTTGCAGCCAGACGCGGTGACTCACATCTATAATCCCAGCACTTGTGGGGACGTTGAGATGGGAGGATTGATTGAGCCTAGGAGTTCAAGACCGGCCTGGGCAACACAGTGGGACCCCATGACTATGAAAAGAACAAACAAACAAACAAAAATGTTTTAATTAAATAAAATGCAAATAAATAAAAGTTTGTATGGCAAATTTATAAAGAAATTTATAAGACTTAAGGTGACCAATGGAATAGGCATAATAGAATGCCCATTCCCCTCAAAGCCCAAAGACAATGTAAGACTTTCTTTGTGACTGCCCAGATTGTAAATTTCATCATGTTTCAGGCTCTCAGACCTCAGTGGTCAGAGATACTCAAGGGGAATTTTATTTAAGACCATTAAGTGTAAAAAGCAGCTACAGATGGAGTACTTCTATAATTTTACTTCATCCTTGGTGAAAGATATTTTCATTCCATGCTGGGAACTGTTCTTTTTCCATCACTCAGATTACTTTATGAGCTATTTGCTTTGCCAGTAACTACTTTTCTTCCTCTTTTAATGGAATGAAATGGGCAAGGTTAAGGCTCATTATCAAATTGGAATGCAGAAGCAACATTTACCATACTTCAAATTTGCCACTGTAGAAACTGTAAAAAATATATGTATATTCTTTGTATAACATTATGTATGTTAGTAATATCAAAAAATGATAAAATAAAATCCCCAGAATTTTCTGCTTTCTCAAATAAATTCATTAAGTGTAAAGAAAGAACTCATTTTTAAGATCTTCTGATTTACACATTCAAAGCATTGAGAGGGTAGATTCCAGATTGATAACCATAAGGGTCTTTAAAGTGGTATTTTTAGGCAGGGCACGGTGGCTCATGCCTGTAATCCCAGCATGTTGGGAGGCCAAGGCGGGTGGATCTCCTAAGCTCAGGAGTTTGAGACCAGCCTGGGCAACATGGAGAAACTCCATTTCTACCAAAAATACAAAAAAAAAAAAAATAGCCTGCCATGGTCGCGTGCCTGTGGTCCCAGTTACTCAAGAGGCTGAGGTGGGACGATCGCTTGAGCAACAGGGAATATATATATATATATATATATATATATATATATATATATATATATATATTTACAGTTTTTTTTACAGTTTCTGCATTGGCAAATTTGAAACACACAAACACACACACACATACACACACATACACAATAAGTTTGTTACCCACTGAAAAACTCTGAAGAGACCTTGATGCATTCAAAGCTATGAAATTTAGTGAAATATTTAAACTCACTAAAAACAAGCAATTGAAGTAAGATATTTCATGTTTCTTAAAATTTTAACTGTCCAAAAGATTTTGAATTCTCAGAATGTAGGGTTAGTCTCTCTATCTGTATATGAATATAAAATTAGTTACCAGTCATTACATAATAAATAAAATTTTTAAAATTTCAATCCTCCTTCTTCTGTAACAAACTAAATATCAACAAATTTTAGGCTGGGCACGGTGGCTCATGTCTGTAATTCCAGCACTTTGGGAGGCTGAGGCAGGCGGATCGCCTGAGGTCAAGAGTTCAAGTCCAGCCTGGCCAACACGGTAAAACCCCATCTCTACTGAAAATATAAAAATTATCCAGGCGTAGTGGTGAGTGCCTGTGGTCCCAGCTACTCAGGAGGCTGAGGTACAAGAATCACTTGAACCCAGGAGATGGAGGTTGTAGTGAGCCAAGGTCATGCACTGCACCCCAGTCTGCATGAGAGAGGGAGACTCTGTCTCAGAAAAAAGAAAAGAAAAGAAAACAAAACAAATTTTATTTCTGGATATGAGTCGGTGAATAGATCACACTAACTGATAGAGAGAATGGGGAAAAAAGGAATGATAATTGTGTAGCACAGTACCTATTCTAAGGTTCACATTCTATATGGAACAGGGCATACGACATCACTTTTTGTTATTTTCAAAAAATATAAAGATACTCAAAGTTCAAGATTAATGATTTTATGCTATAACACCTCAACACACTAAAGAAACAATTATAGGGAAATACATATAACATTACTGGTAAGACACACACACTGACAACTTGGCTATCTGCTTGATTGAGTATAAATGTGTGGTGTATGTGCCTTCAAAACAGGGCTTAGACTTTTAGCATAAGAATAAAACTGCAGATACTTTTTTAAAATGCTACTTTATTTGTTTACTTATTGAGATGGAATTTCACTCTGTCACCCAGGCTGGAGTGCAATGGTGCAATCTCAACTCATTGTAACCTCTGCCTCCCCGGCTCAAGCAATCCTCCCACTTCAGCCTCTTGAGTAGCTGGGACCAGAGGTACGCAACCATGCCAGGCTATTTTTTTTTTTTTTGTATTTTTGGCAGAAATGAGGTTTCTCCATGTTGCCCAGGCTGGTCTCAAATTCCTGAGCTTAGGAGAGCCACCCGCCTTGGTCTCCCAACATGCTGGGATTACAGGCATGAGCCACTGTGCCCTGCCTAAAAATGCCACTTTAAAGACCCTTATGGTTATCAGTCTGGAATCTACCCTTTCAGTGCTTCGAATGTCTAAATCAGAAGATTTTAAAAACTCGTTCTTTCTTTACACTTAATGGGTTTATTTGGGAAAGCAGAAAATTTGGGGGATTTTATTTTATTATTTTTTGATATTATTAACATACACTTTAGATAGATCTACAATGCCAATTTATAACTAAGGCAATTATCTGAGTAAGTCAGACCAAAATATCCACTCTTACCTGCTTTTATGAAGCATTTTGCTCTGTTCTTCAATGCTCAAGTTGCAGCACTGAAGTGGTGTCTCAAGTGATAATAAAGTTGATGTTAAACTCTCCATATGTCTTAAATAATAAGTCTTAGAAGTGGAACAGGAGTGATCCTCTATTAACCACCTACTTTCCTAAATGAGGAAACTCAAGCCCAGAGAGGTGAAATGGCTTGCCCCATATCGTGAAACTAAATGTTGGCACAGCTGGAGTACAACTAGGTCTCCAGCTTTATGGTCTAGTGTACTTCTAACTTCAAGAAACAGACTGAGACCGGGCGTGATGGCTCATGCCTATAATCACAGCACTTTGGGAGGCCGATGTAAGAGAATCACTTGAGCCCAGGAGTTCGAGTTCAGCCTGGGCAACGTGGCAACACCCTGTCTTTACCAAAAAAGAAAAGAAAGAAAAAATAAGAGACCACCACAAGTTTTAATTGGTTGCGCCCAAAAGTATAAAATAAGTTTATCAGGCAGTACATCTCTGTGCATACCAACCACACGGGAGCTCATTCTCAGCAAGGCTGCAAAAAAAAAAAAAAAAAAAAGTATATAAAGGTTTCTGTTTAATGGAACTTTCTTGCTTTTAAAATGATAACAGAAGTAGCTGGGCGTGGTGGCTCATGCCTAGAATCCCAGCACTTTCAGAGGCCAAGGTGGGCGGATCACTTGAAGTCAGGAGTTCGAGACCAGCCTGGACAACATGGTGAAACTCCGTCTCTACTAAAAATACAAAATTAGCTGGGTGTGATGGTGTACATCTATAGTCCCAGTTATTCAGGAGGCTGAGGCAAGAGAATCGCTTGAACCCGGGAGGCAGAGGTTGCAATGAGCCAAGATAGCACCACTGCACTCCAGCCTGAGTGACAGACTTATTATATCTGGTAGTTTTTTTGTAGGTTCTTCTCTGTAGAAGATCATGTTATATGTGATTAAGTAGAACTTTAACTGCTTTCCTTCCAATTTGGATGCCTTTTATTTCTTGCCTTATTACACTGAGTAGAACTTCTAGTACAATGTTGAATAGAATTGGGGAAAGCAAACCTCATCTTATTCCTGATCTTAAGAGCAGCCTTTCACTTTTTTTCCCTTTATTGATACATAATATTTGACATATTTATGGGGAAATTGTCAGTGCTTCTTACATGCATAAAATGTGTAATGATCAAGTCAGGGTATGTGAGGTATCAATCACTTTGAGTATTGATCATTTCTGTGCCTTGGTAACATTTCATATCCTCTTTTCTATCGAAAAGCATTCACTTTTTTAAACCATTAATGTGATATAGACTACAAAGTTTTCATGGACAACTTTGGCCAAATTGAGAAAGTTTCTTTCAATTTCTAGTATCCTGAGATACTAGACATGACATCTTTTTAAACTTTTGCAGGTTTTTGAAGGTTAAACAAAAGATAAAATAATCATCATAAACAGAAGGACATCAATGTTTTTCCATTAAAAAGATTCCTGAGAGCCATTAAAAAGATTCCTGAGAGGGCAGATGTTATATATGAAAGTGCCTAAATAGAGTTCTTTTTACGAGACAGGGTCTTGCTCTGTTGCCCAAGGTGAAAGGCAATGGTACAATCACTGCTCACTGCAACCTCGACCTCCTGGGCTCGACTGATCCTCTCACCTTAGCCTCCCACCTTGCTTCCCAAGTAGCTGGGACCACAGGCATGCGTCATCATGCCTTTTATTTTATTTCATTTTTGTAGAGACAAAGTCTTACTATGTTGCCTAGGCTGGTCTTGAACTCCTGGCCTCAAGCAATCCTCCTGCTTTAGCCTCCCAAAGTCCTGGAACTACAGACGTGAGCCACCGCACCCGGCCTAAATAGAGTTCTTACGCATTTCTAGAGACAGCTCAGGGACTTATTGTTACATGTTCTTCTGCAAATGACTTCAAAAGAAGAGGGTGTAAAAATCATATTTTTAATAAAGAGGTTGAAGAAAGTATAAAAAATGTTTCAAAAACAATAATTTTTAAAATATAATAATGATTTTAAAAGTTATTTCATCATCACATATATCTGCCATAATGGAATTATAACTTTAATAGGAAGCTGTCTCGAGTTTTGTAAAGAGGTTTTCTTATGACACAATAAAGCAAATACTAAAAATCAGTAATATTTCCTACAAGTTTTGGTTGCACACCTGGGTGTGGTGGAATGTGCCTGTAGTCTCAGCTATGCTGGAGGCTGAGGTGGGAGGATCACTTGAGCCCTGGAATTTGAGGCTGCAGTAAGCTATGCTCATGCCACTGCACTCCAGCCTGGGCAACAGAGCAAGACCATGTCTGGAAAAAAAAATGTGAAGAAGATGTATCTATTTTTTGTTGAGATGAGGT